ATAATAGCGACCGCCAGTCGCTGCCCTTGGCTGCAGAACTCTGCGCTTGCAAAGGGCCTGCCTGGGCCTCGAAGATTTTAGTGGAAAGACTGGAAGGGTGTGCCGTGGGAGTCGGAAATGCTGGAAGAGGGCAGGAGGTTGGAATCCTAGTCCTGGGGCAAGAGGGCCTGGAAGAGCTGGTTCTGCCTCCGAGGCAGAAGTCCTGGACTCCCGAAAACCTTTCTGCTCATCCCTAACAATTTCCTAGCTGGGCTACAGCACCAACCATGAAGAGAACAGGAAGGCGATAGAAAAAATGCTCTCTCTCCGCAGGCCTTCTCAAGGTCTTTGCCTTTTGAGGGGCAGAAGAGGGGCTGTTACAGGGTCTGCTCGTCCGCATTCCTGCCTCTCGCCAAGCCATTGGTCGAATCCACGCAGGGCGCAATCTGAAAAATATGTGCAAAGAGCTGTAAAACTGTTCATTGAGCCCCTATGACCCAGTAAACCCATTTAAGGAAATACATTTCTAAGGAAATGATCCAAAGGGGGAAGGGAGCGGGGGAAGGACTTGCATAAAGATGTTTATAGCAGGGCTATTCAGAATGTTCATAATGACCAAAACCTGGGAATGGACCCAATTGTCCAACAATTGGGGAATAATCCAAACAAGCCCTGTCACATTAACAGAAGGAATCCTGGCAGGTATGCAGGATTCATGTCAAGCATGTCAAATTTTGGCAAGTACATGAAAAGATGTATTGGAAATAAGGTTAAGTAAAAAAATACTTTGTACACAGTATCTAAAACTATGTAAAATGAGCAGCTGTAGGGACAGGAAAATATAGTTGTTTTTAAGTATATGAGATTTGTTTTCTCCTTAAAGATGCTTGAAAACATTAAAATTTCAAAAATAGAAAAACTTAGACGGTCCATTCCAAAAAGCTACAATCTGATACGCATTAAGTAGTAAAAATCTTAAGAAACTTTCCAGCTGGCATATCAGAGATAAGCCCATAGAAGGGCAGCCTAGTTTTAAAGGCCTAACCTCACAGAACTAGCATTTTAATTCAGTCAGTTTTCCAGGAACCTCATCTTTTGTTTTTTTGTTAAAGCCACCTTCACTGGGACTAGGCAGGAAGAGGTCCTGGAGGACCAATACAGCTTTTTCCTCTTGGATAATAACACTGACTCCTGATCAAAGGTCAGTCTTGTAAGTCTGAATGTTGAGTGACTCATTCATACCTCCACAGACCACACCAAGAGGACAGAATGAGCTCAACACTCCACCTGCTACTGCACTGGAGCAAAATAATGAGAGCATCTGTTAATACCAATCCTTTTCCCTGATGACAATATAATATGCAAAGTAAAAGGGACACCATGTGGTTCTCTGTTTCCAAATTAATTTTTCAATGACTGGCTGTATATTTTTATGGAGCTTGGTGGACTAACAGGAAGCCAAGTTCCCAAATACCAGACATGGAAGCTTTACTTAAAACATAACAATAATAATAATAATAATAGTAATAATAATACTCCTCAACTAGATACAGATAGTGGGCACCTTGTATGTATGGTTATTCACATAGACTAGAATGAGCCACAGTGTAGAAGACTTTTATCCAAGACTATACCATTGTCTATGTGGAGGAAAAAAAGACTAATCTCTTGATAGGAATTAAACCTTTTTTATTTCTTTTTGGTCAGTACAATAATTCTTATTTTACCAAAGTAGAGCACAAATATAATCTTATAAAAGTTCAAACAAGCCAGAAATGTATAAAACATAACCTTGAAAAATTACTCTCCCAAATCTCCCTACACACGCATTCTGTTACCATTCAAGGCCGTTGTCCATTCTCATACACATACACGTATGTATCTTTTTCCCACATACATGAATTATACAGTGTCACAAGGTTTTGCAACTGATTTTTTCCCCTTTAATAATATGTCTCAGAAACATCTCCATGTCTGTATACAGAAATCTACCTCATTCTTTTTAACTGTTGTGCTATACCCTCTAGTGTGGGTGTATCATACTTTCATTTACTCTCTGTTAGAGAGCATAGTGGTTAAGAACGGACTCTAGAAACGGATTGAGCTAAAATCCTGCCACTACCACACACTAGCTCTTTCCTCATGTTTGTTATAAAGAGCTTAGAAGAGTGCTGGCCCCAGTAAATGTTGGACGTTATTAGTATTTTCTCACTGTCACAAACATTGTTACCATTGACATCCTTCTGTTTTTGCCTTCATGTGGACATATTTAAATAGTATAGATTCCTAAAAGTGAAATTATTGTATCAAAGAGTAGGCATACTTTAAATAGTGATCGATACTGCCAAACTGTCCCTTAAAAAGACTATACCAATTTAGGGAGGAGGGTATAGCTCAAGTGGTAGAGTGCATGCCTGAGGTCCTGGGTTCAGCCCCCAGTACCTCCTCTAAAAATAAGTAAATAGATAAGCCTAATTACCTCCCCCTCATAAAGCAAGAAAAAAAAAAAGACTATACCAGTTTTCAGTCTCATCATCAGTAGAAGAAACTGCCAAATTCCCTTTACCTTTGCTGATATTAAATATTATAAATATTTTTAATTTTTTCCAATTTGACGGGCAAACAAAATGGCATCATATTTTAATTTGCATTCCCTAAATTACTACTGAAGATGAGCATTTTGTGTTTCTATTTCTTCTGAAATTACCTGTTTATGTCTTTTGTCCATTGGTTTGCCTTTTTCTTACTGATTTTTAGCAGCTTTTATTCATTACAGATACTCCTCCTTGTTATAATACAATGTTAAAACAGGTGTTATGATTTGCAATTCTTTTCTTCCAGTCTTTGCTTAATATTCAGTATTGGTTTTGGTACCTTTGCCACACACAAAAGTTTTACCTTTTATGAAGTCAAATCTACCAATATTTTCCCTACAGCTTCTGGGTTTTGTGTCTAGATTGGGAAAGATTTTTTTTTTTGAAGACTTAAAAAAATTTTTTTGTCTTTTTTTTGGGGGGCAGTGGGGACAGGTAATTAGGTTTATTTCTTTGTTTTTAGAGGAAGCACTGGGGATTGAACCCAGGACCTCATGCATGCTAAGCATGCTGTCTACCACTTGAGCTGTACCCTCTCTTCCACCACTGGGAAAGATTTTAAATCCAGTTTTTAGGGCACACAGAGGACTGAAATTGCAGTAAGCTCTAAGGAAATGGCAGTTTCCTGATAGCAAACTCACTACCTCTCCAATGACCCATTGAAAGAGACTCTCCCTGTGCTCACTCTTCTCGGAGGGATTTTTGCTGCTCTCTAACCCTGTCCCAGGTTGGCTGCTTCCTTTTTAAAACCTGTCTCTGACGTGTCCTGAGCACAGGTGGGACAGGTGGCACAAAAACTTTGTTCAGTATTAAGGAAGAATAATGGAGAAATAAACACAGAGGCTCTAGGGCATTTAAACAGACCAGCCTGTCAGTATATAAGGCTTTGTTTCTACCGTATTCCTAGCTTGATCTTTGGGACTTAGAAGTTCCACTCCCATTTCACGTGCACTCCGTCTGTTTCTTTTCTCTGTCTCTTCATTCCTCGCCCATTTATAAGTGGTTGGTTTAACACTTAGAATTGAACATCCACCACCCAGCAACAACTTCCTAGCTCTCCTGACACTTCACAATCCAAACTGAGAGAACAGGGCTCTCTCTTTGGTCTACTTGAGCCCCATCTATTCTGTTCCAGTTTTTAATTTGTAGGATCGACCTCTTCCCCAAGAATTAAACCACCCTTCCGATGCAACCTCACCCTCTCCACCCAAAAATAGGACTGTA